TGGGCGCGTATCATCACCACATGTGTAAATAACTTTTGTGGATGAATCATCCTTGTGGCTCCATATCTCTCAGTTGCCATATTTAAGTCTGACCGCTTTTCTTGGCAGCAACATTTGTTCATTTCCCCTTCGTTGCAGTCTTATCTGTATATGTTTCATTATAAAACATTTCAACATAAGTCTCCCAGCGCTCACCAAGTCAAGTCTGAAACTAATCACCCTGTCATAAATTTAGTGCCTATTGATAGATGTTTTGTATATGCTATTGATGGACGACTTTATTTGCTTAGAATGCTCAGAGTTTTGTTAGTTTGCAGTATCTTCATTAAGAGCCGAACTTCTATAAGCAGCATTGGCCATAAGACCTTTTGTTTGAGAGGACTTTAAAGTTGGCTTTAGTTTTGGCTTTAGTTTGAGGTAGGGCATTGGAAGGAATGAGAATTTGAGTTTACACTTGCGCAGTAACAAAATTCGTCGCTTTGTTGTTGAGATGTGGTGTTTTGTTGACAATGCCGCCTCAAAGCAAACGAACGAAGTGAAAGCAAAGGATTCTTATCATTCGAGTCAAAAAGAAAGCAATGTTCGCTTTTGGCAATCAATGCTTTATACCCTTCAGTGAGCGATTGAAGACCTGCATATAGGATTCATAGTGGAGTTTCTTTATGGTCAAACGAATTTATCTCCTTTAGCTCAAATTTCTTCCGTAGCTTTTTCGAACATTTAATAATCGACATAAACTTCTTGTACTATATGTGGTCAACCCACATCTTTGGAACTCCAACTGGAAATGAAGAGAACAGAAAATCACTCCACTTCAGTAAATTCTCCTTTTATTTATTTCTTCTATTCTTCAATCTCGCCCTCATTCCTAATCAGATGCACTTTGACTCTTATGCCAAGTTAGATATTTAATTAGCCTTGACTAAATATTTTCCTAAGCTCTCTGCCGATTGTGATAAGTATGAAGACTCTTAAGCGGCATTAAATGCTTGTTGTGGTGATTGGTTGTGATTAAATTTAAAGTGCACCTGGCGTTCATTCACTATATGGTCTTGGCAGAACATGAGACCTTAGCTTATTTGCTTTCTATAGTCATTTCTATGTACATGTAGCAGTGTAATTTTAT